ATAGCAAGTTCCAGGACAGCCAAGGCTACAAAGTGAGACCCTGCCTCAGAAAAACAAAACAACAAAAAGTCACACACACACACACACACACACACACACACACACACACACACACACACACACACAAACCACCAAAAAATAGTAACCCCCCAAAACATCATCATAATCTCTGAAAACCATTAATTAGGGTCATGCTGTGTCTAAATCAAGTTCAAGTCCTTCATTATACTCAAATTCAGTGATCATAGAAATGGTAAACACTACAAATTCAGATTCTCAGCAAGCTGGTCAGTCTACACAGGAATTTCAGAAAAGAACAAAAAAATGGGACTGTAAGATGACACTTAACAAATGCACACTGATACAGAACCTGGAATTTAGAATCTTACTGTTTGTGAAGCATCAGACCTAGAGAGACTGAAGTGCTCAATGTTGTATAGCTGCTCTCAGGTAAACATGGGCCTGAGGTTGGTTTTGGTGTTTCATTCCAGTCTGTTCTAAGAACTATGAGGAATCCACACCCCCGCCCCCCATGAGTGCCTTCTCCAAACTTTATGTCAGTTACTATAGTAACCTATTTAATAAAGTAACTCCCTGAAGAAGACAGTATTATACCCATTTCACAGATGAGCAAACAGCACAAATGGACAATCTTACCCAAGGTCACACAGCTAATAAAGGGCAGAACCTGGGGAAAGTGCTGCTCTGCCTCTCAGCAGCTCTGAGGTGTGCCATGGTGCTGTCTGTCACTCACTGGAAAATGCCTTCCCCCTCAGATCAGCTGTGGTGGTCCAAGTTAAATACACGTCTACTCAACAACAAAAGATGTCCCTGACATCTGAACTCTCGCCCCCTTTTAAAATCCAGCACAGTGACAGCACTGACGGAGATATCAAGATAACAGTCTGCATTCAAGGCCCCACATCAGGTGAACAGATGAGACTCTCTAAGGGAAAAGTGTTCTGGAGCAGTAGGGATTAGACTTCAAAATACTAGAGCAAGCTGAGTGAGAAAGATAGGGGACTTGAGAGGCCATTTCGCCAGGAAGCTACTGGATGACCTTGGCCATGTCGTTTCCCTCCTATGGTCCAGGTTTGTTTTCCAGAATGGGGATTGGGTAACTTCAAGTCCTTCGTCAAAACGTTTGGTTACAAAATCCAATGAGCATCTGGGACATTTTCTGGAACTGTAAGTTGACCCTGGGTTCCAGAAGCTCTCGGGGCTAGCTCTGGACGCCGGACCCGTCAATCTGTCTCTCGGTGTGCTACAATTAAGAGTCACTCACAGTCCCTGCTCTCCCCTCCCAGGGGCTTGGTAAGAAATACAGGAACCAAAGCCACCAAAGCGACTAGATCGCTCGGAAGCTCTGTCTCGGTATGGGGCACTTCTGCCACGAGTGACCCTCTTCCCTCGAAGCCCAGGAATCGTTTCTGCCCTAGTCGGTGACCTCAGCTTGGCCGTGAGACCTTGGGCAGGTGCCTCAGGGCCCTGGATGCACCCCTGCCTCTCACCAGTGTTCGGCACCTCCCGATACCAAGCGCGGTAGAGCTCGCGCACCCTCCGCTTGGCCTCGTTCAGGTCGCGACTGAAAATAGGCTTCACGGTGGTGCTGGCTGCAACCGCAGCCTGCCGCAAGCCGCTGGCCGCCATCTTGCCGAGGGAGCCCCGCCCCCTCAGCGCGCGCATGCGCTGTGCTACGTGACGCGACGCCCCGCCCTCTACGGTACGAGTGGGCGGGGGGTTGGCTGGACGGGGACTCTCGGATTGGCTGGAAGCCTCTACGAAAGACGGGCCTTGCGAAGGGCGTGCTCCTCCGCGGCAAGGCTCACGGAGCCACCAGGGGGCGCAGCGTCGAGGCGTCCGTCGGCGGTCTGATGCGCGACGCCCAAGCCTTCCCAAAAGTTTGCTCCTTCGGCGCCTGGCGGCCGTGGCGGTCTTCTCGCAGTAACAGTATATACTACTGCATAGACTGTGTATGTGTTTTCGAAAAACTGTTTCTTCCAGACATGCTGTAGGTAGCAAAAGCGCCATCTCGATGGAACTTTTTGGCGTTTCTCAGCCCCGGGAGGCCGATTGTAGTAATAGCTCCATTTCTAGTTATTTATTTATTTTTAAATTGTACTTATTGTCATTGCTTTTCATTGTTGTCTGATTGGAACTCGCCGCTGGCCTCAGAACTTGCAGTGACTTCTCTGCCTCTGCAGGTTTGTGCCCACTGCACCTGGCTGTGGTTGTCTTTTTTTTTTTTTTTTTTTTTAATGTGTATGGGTGTTTTGCATGCTTGTATGTCTGTGCACCACGTGTGTTTTTGGTGCCCGTGGAGGCCAGAAGAAGGCAATGGACTCCCCTGGAACTGACGGTTGTGAGATACTTTGTGGAGCTGGGAATGGAACCCAGATCCTCTGGAAAAGCAGCCAGTGTGCTTAACCTCTGGGCCTTCTCTCCAGCCCCTGTGGTTGCATTTTTTGAGACAGGAACTCGCTATGTAGCCCAGGTTGGCTTACACTCCTGATGCCCGCTCAACCTCCTTAGCACTGGGTGCCATTACACCTAGCTTAATCAGCTCTGTTTTAGACAAGGAATTTTCCATCCCAAAGTGTAGAAGCTCAAAGGATCCTTAAGTCATCTATTCTGAGCACCTCTGGCTTTGCTGGCATGTCTCATTGAGGTTATCACTGCACATCAAGTGTAAAGAAAAAAGAAACGGCTACCACGACAAGTGGTACCCTAAGTGTGTAATGGCGTTTAATCTCATAGCGGAGGTAGGTGTTGTTAGCATTCTTATTTTCCAGGCAAGGAAACGGTACAGAATCCCAGTCACTTGACACACAGATCATCTCACTGCCTGACTCCTGAGTAGAAGCCACTGTCTTTGCCTGAAAGTTCAGTTGACAGGAACTTGGAAAGCATTGAGGAAAAGCAAGGCACAGGTTAAGCAGATGGGTGCTGACCTTGAGTGTGACTCCAGCTGGTGTAGGTATGGCCCTGTATCACCCAGTTTTTAGCTTGTCAAGGGATAGGGGATATTTTCCATTTACTATTTTTTTTTTTTTTTTTTTTGGTTTTTCAAGACAGGGTTTCTCTGTGTAGCTTTGCGCCTTTCCTGGAACTCACTAGGTAGCCCAGGCTGGCCTCGAACTCACAGAGATCCGCCTGGCTCTGCCTCCCGAGTGCTGGGATTAAAGGCATGTGCCACCACCGCCCGGCTTCCATTTACTATTTTGAAACACATTTGTATATTGTATTTGTGTGTGTGTGTGTGTGTGTGTGTGTGTGTGTGTGTGTGTGTGTGTGTGTGTGAAGACAACTTTCAAGAGTTTTCCATGTGGTCCCAGGGGTTGAATTCAGGTCATCAGGCTTGGTGGTAAATGCCTTTGCCCATGGAGCTATCCTGCCAGCCCGTATTTGTATATTTTAATGGGTATACAATCCCTGTATACAGGAACTGGAGGAGATAGTTCAGTCAGCAGAGGACTTCTTATGTGTCTCGGTTAGGGTTTTTATTGCTGCAGTGAAACACCATGACCAAAGAGCAAGCTGGGGAGGAAAGGGTTTATTCAGCTTACACTTCCACATTGCTGCTGTTCATCACCAAAGGAAGTCAGGGCAGGAACTCAAACAGGGCAGGAACCTGGAGGCAGGAGCTGATACAGAGGCCATGGAGGGGTGCTGCTTACTGGCTTGCTTCCCATAGCTTGCTCAGCCTGCTTTCTTATAGAACCCAGGACCAGCAGCCCAGGTATGGCACCACGCAGAATGGGCTGGGCCCTCTCCCATTGATCATTAATTTAAAACATGCCTTATGCTGCCAGGATGTAAAATAAATAGATGAATTAAAAAATTCCTTACAACTGGATCTTACGGAGGCATTTTCTCAGTGGAGGCTCCTTCTCTGATGACTCTAGCCTGTGTCGAGTTGACATAAAACCAGCCAGCACACTGTGCAAGCATGAGGAACTGATTTCAAATCCATTCCCCAGTGTAAAAGGCTGGAATTGATGGTCTGCAGGGAATGTGGAGACAAGTAGGTCCATGGGGTTTGATTGTTGTTCAATGGAGCCTAATCAGGAAGTCTCAGGTCCCAGTGAGAGACCCTGTCTCAAAAAAAATGGATGGCTCCTAAGGAAGGACATCAGAGACTGACCTTTGCTTTCATGCATACCCTCATATGGACAAACACGCACACAAATCTATACAGTAATGTTCCATATATACAGCTGTAATCCTATGCTATATGATAGAGTTGAAAATTACTGCCTCATGACACTCTAATCTAGTAACTGCACCATGCATTATGGATATCTTTGTGGTAGTGTAAACAAACTTACAGTACGTCCAGTCAAAGTACAACACGCACAACTATGCTCAGCACACAGCATTTAATAATCATTGGTTTGTCTGTTCACTACTTGTCCTAGTCACTGTTCTGTTGCTGTGAAGACACCATGACCAAGGCAGCCTATAAAAGAAAGCATTTAGCTGGGAGCTTACGTACAGTTTCAGGGAGTTAGTTCATGACCGTTGTGGCGGGGAGCATGGCAGCAGGCAGGCAAGCATGGCACTGAAGCAGTAGCTGAGAGCTTACATCTTATCCACAGGTTGGAGACAAACAGACACTGGGCATGGCCTGGGACTTTGAAACCTCAAAGCCTGCCTCTAGTAACACATCTTCTCCAACAAGCCACACCTCCTAATCCTTTCCAGAACAGTTCCACCAACTAGGGATGAGACTGTGGGGGCCAAACCACCATATTACTGATGAGCTTTGCTTTATGAATTTTTTTCTTTCCTTCTTTTTTCTTTCTCCTCCTTTATTTTTTAACCTGGCTAACCTGGAACTTTCGGTAGAGTCCCATGTTGGGTGGTTCACAAACCACCATAACTCAACTCTAGCTCTAGGAGATCCAGTACTCTTTTCTGGTCCCTGTTGAGCATCTGAACACATGTTCCCCCCCCACCCCCCAAATTAAAAAAAAAATCTTTAAAATTTATCAAGACTTGTGCTTGCTTCAGTAGCATATAAAGTAAAATTGGAACGATACAGAGAAGATTGGCATGGTCCCTGTGCGAGGATGACACACAAATCCCTGAAACATTTTATATTTTTACATAAGTGATCCCCCAAATTCTAAAGGACAATCATGCTGTACTACTCAGACCCAGAGAGACTAAATAACAAGGAAGGCTTAAGAGGGTACAGCGCATATATCTCCCTGGGAAGGGGAAATGGAATAGATTTCAAGGGTGGACTGGGGGCAGGTGGGGATATGAACTGGAGGGATCAGGTGGTGGGGTGGAGGGAGAGAGTACTGGGAGAGATGACTAGAATTGGGGGGCATTTCAAGGGTGAGGCAGAAACCTAGTGCCATGGAAACTCCCAGAAATCCACAAGGGTGATCCTAGGAAAGACTCCTGGTAATGGGGGATGCAAAGCCTTAACTGGCCATCTTCTGTAACCAGGCAAGGCTTCCAGTGGAGGGATTGGGGCACCAACTCAGCCACAAAACCTTCAACCTACAATTTGTCCTGCCTGCAAGATGTGCTGGGGTAAAGATGGCACAGAACTTGTGGGAGTGGCCAACCAATGCCTGGTCTAACTTGAGACCCATTCCACAAGAGGGAGCCCATGTCTGACACTGCCTGGAGGGCCAGGAACCAGAGTCTTGGATAGCCCAGAGGCCTAGGATAGAACCAAACACAATCAGGAAAAAAAAAAAAATAAAGATACTCTGCTATACTTGTAGAGTAGAGCCTAGCATAATTTTCATCAGAGAGGTTTCATCCAGCAACTGACAGGAGCAGATGCAAAGACCCACAGCCAAACATTAGGTGGAGCTCAGGGAATCCTGTGGAAGAGGCCGAGGAAGGATTGTAGGAGCAAGAGGGGTTAATGACACCATAAGAAAATAGCCCAGAGTCTCCTAACCAGGGCTCTCAGAGGCTCACAGAGACGGAACGGACAACCAGGGAGTCTGTATCCGTCTGACCTAGGTCCTCTGCATATATTTCATAGTTGTGTTTGGTGTAATGTGAGACTACTAGCAGTGGGAATGGGGGCTGTCTCTGACTTTTTTTCCTGCTTTTGGGGTCCTATTCCTCCTACTGGGTTGTTTCATCCAGCCTTAATATGAGGGGATGAGCCCAGTCTTATTATAACTTGATATGCCATGTTTGGTTGATATCCCTGGGAGGCCTGCCCTTTTCTGAAGGGAAAGGAGGAGGAGTGGATCTGGGGAAGAGGAGAGGTAGGGGGAGGTATGGGGGAGGGACTATTCACAGCTCTGTATCATCTCTCCTTCTGTAGAGATGTAAGGTCAGGGGTGGGAAGAAAGAAGCATTAGGGGCATGTGAGGCTTCTCTGGAAAAGTTGGGCTGTGGCGCACAGATCATGGCTGGCAGAGGGTCCCAGGAGTAAGAGCAGGTCCCATTGAGGAGAACTCATCAATTTACCACAGGAAAATCTCAGGAAAAGCAAAAGGCTAACACTGCAAGTGTGAGAACAGGAAGCATGAGGTGTCCTGAGGGCCTTGGTGCTCATCATATTCTACCTGCTTGATTCTCCTTGAAGGCCATGACCACAAGGGAAATGGGAGGATGGAGTGATGCTACCCCCAAGGAGACCGGCATCATGTCTCAGGAGGAAGGGCAAGTGAGGTCCTCTAGTGAGCAAAGAACTAGCCTCATTATTATTGAGGAAGAACAGTTTTCGGGGACCCTAGGCTGGGAGATAAGGAGATATCAGATGCCAGAATATCACCATCATGAATTCTCTTGAGATGCCATGGACCACTGCAGGATATAGATGGGGGGCTATGGGACAAGGAGGCCCTGGGGACCAGCTCAATCCAAAACTACTAGCTAGAGTTGTCATCCTGGTAGGTCAAGGAGCTCTGTGTGGTGCCGAGAGGTAGCAAACCTGGCACAATCAGGGAATGGGTCTGAATCCTGGCTCCCCCAAATTTCTGGGAGCCAGGCTACAGTTCCCCCATCTGTACCAACTCTGACTCCTCCCATTGCTGGGCCTCTCTTCCCCATCGCAGGAAAGGGGAAATGTGGAACAGGAAGTTGGTGTATATCTATCTGGCGAGATGGCCGCCCAATCCTGTTGTAACAAGACTGTCCTTGTTCCCCATCTGTGACACCTGTCAGACCTGTCAGGGATACAGGTCCTTCCCTCCCAGACCCTCCTGAACTGGCAAGGAGAGGGAGAAATACCAGGTAGCTAGAAGGCTTGACCTACCCGAGTGAGCCTCCCGTGACCTCTTACTTCCTTGTGTGTTGACTGGAACCAAATGAATGGTCCCCAGGCATTAGGGGGTCCTTGGTGCTGAGTGAATTTTTCTCTCAGCAAGTGACCCACAGGGCCCACCTGTTTGTGCTTTAGAGGCTTCTGTGGTAGAGAGCAAGGATGAAAAGTTCAGGGGCTGGGTCTTGCATTTCCCGAGAAAGTTCTGGGTGGGGTGGCTTGCAGCCTCTGACACCCCCAAAGTGCAGAACCACAAATGAGAAAGGATCCAGTAAAGCCCGTATCTGCGCCTTCTGAAAGCCTAGCGGTCTTATTTTCAGGGCCCCAAAGCTGCCTTGGGATATTCATGCTCTCCCCCACCAGCTGCAGGGCCATACCTCCTGTTCTCTAACCTAGCGGGCATTCTTCAGTGACCCACAGGGGCCCAGGCCAGCCCTTTGACACAGTGCTAGAGTCCAGATGTTGCTGAGATGTGAGCTACACCGCCCCCAAGGGGAACAGTGGCAGGGACCCTAGCTGCAGTACTGCTGACCCCTCTGGGGGAAATATACCTCAGGCTCTCTGCTCTAAGTGTTTATGCATCTAAGTCTCAGAATGTTACCCACTGCACTAACGTGTCAGGGAAGCAGATGATGCTTAGGCACTCTTGGGCGCGATCCCTGTGCTCAGCTCAGCTCAGGTACTGTGCGATGAGGGGATGTGACAGACAGCAATGCCAGCTCTCGGCAGGTGCACTAGTTACTCTGTGGTGCCGGGACAAAACACCCGGCAGGCAACAGAAACTGCAGGAAGGAAGGGTTTATTTGCCTCTCGGTTTGAGGGTGTAGTTCAACGTGGTGGGGAAAGGCACAGCAGCAGAAGCATGAAGTGGTGGCTCACATTGCGTCTATCATCAGGAAGCAGAAAGAGGTGGATTGTTGGTTGTCTACTTCCTTTCTCCTTTTGATTCAGCCCTGCACCCAAGCCCGTGGGAGGACCACATTGAGGGTGGTCCCTCCCACCTCAGTTAATCTAGAAACTCCTCAGACACGCCCCGTGATTTGTCTCCTGGGTGATTCTAGAGCCTGTCAAGTTGACACCATCCCCCATAGTGGGAGATGGTACACTGGCAAGGGTCAGAGCCCAGGAGTCAGAGCAGGGAGGCAATCTGGTGTAGCTTCCTCTGAGTAGAAGAGGGAAAAGTCAAAGACGAGGCCAGTAATACCACGGCACACAGTGAGGTTCCAACGGTTTCTTTTTCTCCGATGCCCACGCCACCACCTTGTTCTCTGCCCATCTCATTGACTATGGGCCCCAAGCTTGACTTCTCTTCCTATGGCAGGCCTGTAGGTATCGGGGCTCATCCCTGTCTTCCCAAGTGTTAGATTATTTAAAAACAGCTGGAGGGAGAGAGAAGGGCGGAAGGAAGGAAGGAAGGAAGGAAGGAAGGAAGGAAGGAAGGAAGGAAGGAAGGCGGGCAGGCGAGCTTGGTCTGACCTTAGGTGGGACTGTGTTTATTCACAGGGAGGGGGCATCTTGTCACCCACATGTGTGGATGGCCAAAATGTCTACAGAAGATGGGATTTGGTCTCTTATGGGGGTGGAAATGACTTCCGTAGTCTGCAAAGGGAGCTGGGAAGTGTAGTCTTTCAGCAGGAAACTTTCATTCCAAACTCTGAGGGGATATAAAAAATGCAGGGCAAGGTGTTATAGCTGTTTCCTACTGTGGATGGTCTTTGTGGCAGGGATTGCTGTCTGCATGCTGGGTTCCTGAATGGCACTTCCATCATGGTGTCAGTTGTGCTAAGGCCTAGGAGCCTGTTACATTCCCCATTGGTTCTACAGGCATGAGTCAAATCGTGGACTCATCTGGGAGATCGGGGTTATATTGTCTCATTAGCATTAATAGTTTAACAGAATTTGTTTTCTAAGTAGGCAGTTGAAGAATCAGGATCTTATAGTGAGAGCTAGGAGCAAAAGGATTAATGACCAGCCATGACCTTAAGTGTAGTAGTTAGCCAGGGGTCGAGAACAAATACTGGTACCAGTTGATGTCTCTCTTCTTGTGTTTCTTTTTTTAAAGGTTATTTTTGACAGTGGCTGAATCTTTTTATCTCTGATTGGCTGGCAGAGAAGTAACAAGTTTTTTGTTTTATTTATTTATTTTTTAGTGTTATATAGAACCCTCCTTGTCTCATAAAGAGGAGGTCCGGTTCCTCTTCATTCTGAAGAACAACCTCAGCTAAAGACTCTAACTGGGTTTCCACACTGGAAGCAGAATTTTTAGGTGGCCCAAGTCTATGTTTACTTGAGTACTGTGTTTTTAAAAAGTTTTCATTCCTCATAACTAGGGCTGAAGTTTCAATTACAGGGGAGCCCGTGGTACTTGCCCCCACAAAGAGGGGAATGGGGACAGCTTGTTGTTCATGGGGAGGTCAGGAACCTAGATTTAGGTGGGCCTCATGGCCGCCATTACTGCCAGCATTGCCTGGGAGCCTTCGGGAAGTTGTGGGCCATGGAAGGAGGACTGGGGTAGCCGTGGGCAGCATCATTCCCCTTCCGTTTTAGATGTTTCTCCAGTCAGCAGACCTGACAGAAACACAAAGAAAGACAATCAGGGTAGCCACTACACATTCATCCACCTGAGCAGCCCAGGGGAGTCTGGTGGTACCTCACATGGGTCCCAGACACTGGATCATCAATGCTTCTTTATACTCTAACAGAAAGCACCTTAACCAGACTTACCTCCGCAGGTACCAGACCAGGTGACTTTAGAATTTGTTTCCTTTTTGAGGTGGAGGTGTCAGACTCCTCCAAAACTTTAGGCAGCGATCGATCAAAGGGAGTCATAGGGCCCTGGACTGTCTTCAGGTTGTGTACCCCTTAGGAGTTCCTTGACCCCTGCACTCTTCCCTGCTCTGAGGGGATCTGAGACCCCCAATGTCTCAAAGCCTGGTCTCTGGGGATCTTGGTGGAACCTCCAGAAACGCTGTGGGGTGTCCACTAGGGAAGACTACTCAGGTACAAGTTTAAGCTAATAGAAAGTCTTTGTTAGCCGGTTGGAGACTACACTGGGCGTTCACGATCCCAGTGCAGTCCCGAGCCTTTTTCAGGGTGAGCTTTTAAGTACAAAAGCTATATCGTGGGTTGATATAGATCAGTTAACAAGAACAGTTAGCCAGAAGCAGAGCTACAGAAGCCAAAAAACAAGGTTAGGACAATTAGAGACTTCCCCAGAACTATGGACTTGGAAGGATTGGGTCTTTGTTTTCATTACAGCAAGAGGTGCAGTCAGTGTGTTGAGTTTTATGGCCTGAATAAACTGGCGGCGTCTCCATCATGGAGACGGTTGTGCTAAGGTCTGGGGGCCTGCTAAGGTCTGGGAGCCTGTTATGACACTGAGTTGCTGGTTCTACCAAGCCTGGTTTCAGAAGCACCTTCTCACTATGCAGGGGCCTGAACAGCAGTAACCCTGACAGGTCCGAGAATTAGTGGTGACTAAGAAGCTTGGGAGGTAACCCCCTTCTGGACTCCCACAAAGCCTTTTAGGGAAGCGCCTGGTACCCAATGGCTAACCTTGGGCACTTAACCTGGCATATCACTTTCAGCCTCCCTGACTTCTCTACATCTCTGGGATGTCATGGAAGAAGTTCAGCAATAGATGTGATGATGCTCACTGAGCAGTTAGCTCCAGCTGTGTGGCGGGTGGAAGTGAGTCTGAAATGGGGGCTTCTAGGAGGAATCCTGCCCTTCCCTTCTATGTGACTTACACTGTCACCTACCAGCAGTCCTTTCTGGCCCTCCTTCCAGATGTTGGCATCTGTGTATAAACATGATCAATTTGGGTGAGAAATGTGAGGGCAGGGGAAAAGGCAAGGGCAGCTGTCATTCTCTGAGGCTCAACAGACCAGTCCTTCCATTGGGGTCAAATGGTCTTGTAAGAATAAGTAGGGGGTTGGAAAGGTCCAAGGGGAGGCTGCTGAGGTCCATTACAGCCTGGAGGTCTCACGGGGATGATTTAGTTCAGAGTAAAATGATACATTGCACATTAGGACCCCAGCAGGGTAGCGAATGAGATTTCGTACCCCCTCTTAGCGGGGTAAAACACAGAGCTGGTAGGGCGATGGGGTTGTCAGAGCACCAAAGACCCCACGGTCGCTGGGCCGGGGCTGTCCATCAGGCACCGAGAAGCTAAAGCGCTGCAGGAGGCAGGTGAAGAAGAGGAAGAGCTCCATGCGGGCCAGAGGCTCCCCCAGGCATGCTCTGCGGCCTGTGGGTGGGAGAGGGGCTCAGTCAGTCTGGGGCCTGATGGATGCTCCACCCTCCAAGGCCCCCTGGGAAGAGACATGGAGCCAGGCACCCCACAGGACCTGCTGAGAATGGCATGAAGGCCTCATGCTTCACAAAGCGGCCCTGGGCATCCAGGAAGTGTTCAGGGTGGAACTGGAGGGGCTTCTCCCAGACAGTCTCATCCTTCAGCACGGAGGACAGGTTGGTGATGAGGGTTGTTCCCTGGCAGGAGGCACATGGTGTGAACATGGACTGGAATGGGGTCACCATGACCACATGCACAGTCTCTCCCTCACCCACTTTCATGTAACCTCAGCCCTAGAAGCTTCTCAGCCCTCTTTGATGCTATGACAGGGGTAAGTGACAAGTGACATCGGTATATACACCGTCACCTGTACTTGTAGGTAGTGGCTGCTACAACCGCCCCAGCCATGTTTTAGCTTGCATGGTTTTCTAGCTGGGGTTCTGGTGTGCAATTCTTGTTCTGCTTCCCATACTCCCCAGGGGAAGCTGGTACTGTGGAGTTGAGAATTGGATAGCCCAGATTCCAGTCCTTCTTAACTGGGCAGCTCAGGCCACTAGCTGGCTGGTAACGCTGACTGGATATTAGCGGGCCCCAGGCCTACCTTCGGGATGAGGAAGCCCTGAATTTCAATGTCACGAGATGTCTTGTGAGGCACACCAAGTGGAAGGATGTCCCCAAATCGCTGCACCTCATGAATGACAGCATTGGTGTAGGGCATGCGGGCCTGGTCTGCCATCTCTGGACACCGTGCCTGCCCTATGACTTCATCGATCTCCTGGTGGACGCGGTCTGGAGAAACAGCATCCCCTCAGTTAAGGAGCCCCAGGCAGCTGCCTCTTATCCCTCTACTACTTCTGTGTTAAGGGCTGGGTCCATGGGAGAAAGTTGGCCATCACCCTTGCTGGAGTCTGGGTCAAGTCAGTGCTGGAAGCCACATGTGTCCCAAGTAAGCTTAAGGAGGGTGCCTCTCCCCTCCCTCTTCTTTCTTCCCAGCCCTAGCCAGACTCACGCTGCACATCCGGGTGCAGGATCATGAGCAGCAGGGCCCAGGCCAGTGTGGTCGAAGAGGTCACCATCCCCGCCATGAACAAGTCAGCCACCACTATACGCAGGTTCTCATCATTGAAGCTGCTCTCAGGGTTCCCCTTGGCCTGGGGCCAGGCAGAAAGGGTAGATTCAGTGGGGAGAGGAAGTCCCTCAATGGCCTCCCATTGTCCCCCAGGCAGCCCAGGGGCTGAGGCACTTGGTGATACACAGGATGGCAGCCCACAGCCTCTGGCCCCATGTTATCAGCTGCCCCTCACCTTCTCCACCTCTGCCAGGAAGGCATCAGTCAGGTCTCGGGGTGGCTGGGCAGGGTCCCGGGTTGTCTTGTGCTCAGTTAGCAGCTCATCCAGAATGGCCATGAAGGCCTTTTTCCCAGAGAAGACCTTGCCAGGCAGCCCTGGGATGTGCAGGAGTACCGGGAACACATTCAGGAACTGTGACCAACAGAGAGGGACCAAGAGAGGGACCTGGGTGCTTCCTGTGCTGTGGGTCCCAGCCTCCTCCAGGGTAGACTAGTGACATAGTCCCCCTCCCAATCCCAGCCTCTAACCTTCCTTTTTGCCCTGAGTTTCCACAAGGGCTATCATACTGTGGAAATTTCAGACGTGCGTGGCCTCCACAGGCACTCACCATTTCCAAGCACTTGACCTCAGTCTATCCTGCCCCTGCCCATTGACATTTGTCCAGCTCCTCCCAGAAAGCCCTCTCCTGGATCATCTTCCTGAGAGGCCCCACAGTATGAAGTTATCTGGGTACAGACGCCCCTGATCCCCTCACCATGGGCAGGAAGCCAGCTTCCTCCTTAAGAGTCTCTTTCAGGAGGTCCAGTAGCCTGATGAAGCGCGGGTCATCGTACTCAAAGCGGCAGGCGTAGAGGAGGGAAGCGATCACGTTACACACTGCTTTGTCCAGGAGAGCGTTGGGGCTGAAAGGGCGTCCTGCGAGGGGAAAGGCCGGTCAGGGTGGGTGCTGTCTGTCTCCACTTGGACCCACCAATCCATCACCTACCGGAATAGTCAGTGAAGGCAGCACAGAGGCATCTGGCCTCCTCAGTCACCCACTGCTCCAGTGACTTCTTGCCCAGGCCAAAGTGACGGAAGGTGGACACGGAGAAGCGCCGCTGCTGACGCCAGGCAGACCCGTACTGCGCTAGGACCACACCTGGGGGACCAAACTTAGGCCTGAGACCCAGTCCTCTTTTCTGCTCAGGTCCCACTGTATCACTACTATAAGATCCCAGCACTCGGGAGGCAGAGCCAGGTGGATCTCTGTGAGTTCGAGGCCAGCCTGGGCTACCAAGTGAGTTCCAGGAAAGGCGCAAAGCTACACAGAGAAACCCTGTCTCGAAAAACAAAAAACAAAAAAACAAACAAACAAAAAAAGATCCTTTGTCCGCCTTTTAGCCACCGGCCTCGGTTGTCTTTTCTCTGCGCCTGTCCCTCCCCTGCAATTAGGTCCCGGGCTGTCTCTAGTCCCTGAGCCCTCTCTAGCCCCCGTTCCCCACCACTTCTGTCACTTTGTGCACTTGCCTTGAGAGCGCGGCCCAAAGCCCAAGTGGTCATTGGTATGCAGCGGCGGCCGGTCAGCGGTGTCCTCGCTGTATCTCACCAGCGCCTCACGCAGGGCTGTCAGCCCGTTCAGCACAACCACCGACTCAAAGGCCAGCTGGAGGCTGAACAGGTCCCCAAAGCGGCATCGCAGCTGTAGGCAAGGAGTGAGCGCATTACTGGCCAGCCTGGAGTCCCGTGCTTAGCTGGACTGTATGGGACTTGGCAGGGGAGGTCCAGTCGTGAGCCTCGCAGAAGGATGGAGTCTGGTATTATTTGTCTGGGGAACCGCCCTGGCCTCTTATCAGCCACCCCGCCATGATCTTGCAGGTGTCACACTAGCATCCTCATGTCTGGATGAGGAAACTAAGGATCATGGGTGTAAGTGGGGAGTCTGAGAATCTGAGCTGGCAAAAGAGTGGAAGCCAGCCGCCACATCTTCCTCAACTTTGATTTCCTGACAGAAACGCTGGTTCAGGATCACGGCCTCTCCCATAGTCTCAAAACATTTCCCTCTGGTGGAATGAGAAGGAATGTGAGGTCTGCATAACTTGATTTTCCTTTTATTTTTAGTGTGTGTGTGTGTGTGTGTGTGTGTGTGTGTGTGTGTGTGTGTGTGTGTGTGTGTGTGTTGGAGCCAAGCTCTCAGTATGTAGCCAGGGCTGGCTTGGAACTAGCTATGTATGCCAAGCTGGTGTTGAATGCACAGAGATTTGCTTGCTTTTGCCTCCTCTGAGTGCTGGGATTAAAGGTCTGTACCACTGTATTGGGCTTTTTTTCCTTTAAAAATTTTAGAGTTTGTTTTTGAAATGGTCTCATTATATAGCATGGGCTAGCCTGGGACTCTGCCTCCCGAGGGCTGGGGTCAGAGGCATGCATCACCGTGACACCTGGCTCTCAAATTTTGGTTTTAGAGATAGATTCATTATGTACCTTAAGGTGGCCTGGAATTTATAACCCACCTGCCTTAGATCCCCAATTAAAGGCATGTTGGAATTAGGACACAACTCCAGCACCACCACCCACTATATCTTGTCATGTGACTGGATCTCAAACTGGCTGTTAAGTCCCATCCCACCTCCTGGCCATTGCCTTTGGGAAGTTTAGGGTATCCTCAGGTCCTACACCACTCTCCCCAAAGGAAGGGAGACTCTCAACTTGCTTTCTCCTGGGGGCCAGCTCCTGTCCAGCATGTGGTTGCACTACCATCCACTGTGTTCTGATGGGGGTTCCCCATGGCCTCTCCTGACCTCTAACAATTCCCTTACTTTTTGGAAGCCCGCTGGCATATTCTGGAAGTCCACCTGCATCAGGTTCCCGAGCACAGGCAGGGGCACAGGGCCTGGTGGGTAGCGGGCAGTCCAGCGCTGGCGCCGGTGCATTAGGTCCACCAGAAGCAGGAAGATGACCATGAATATGGCCACGGACCACAGCTCAGTCCCCGTCAGCAGCCTCATGGCTGTCCTGCTGCTCTCTGGGTTTCTCGGGAAACACCTCTTGGTCCTCACTCCAGCCACCTAGGACCGGGGAAAAACAGTATTATCACACCAGGCACTCACCTGGCCCAGGCCAGTTCCTTAGAAAGGAGCCAGTGCTGCCCTTTGCCCTCTGCCTTAAAGCCAAGCTGCTGTGTTTCCAGTGCAGAGTACAAGGAGGGGCAAGGCAGGCCAGGGGCAATGGTAGCCTTAGATGTCCCTGTCCCCTAAGTCCTCAGGAGCTGATGCAGGGGAAGGGGACAGAAACCTGGGGGAACCATGGGAGCTTAGCACACTGGTTGTGCTTGTCTGGGTACTGGGAGATCCATGGGCAGATGACAGATGCACCCCCTGCTCAAGCCCTTGGTCGAGAGGAGGTATACAGACAGCAGAACTCAGAGAGAGGCTTGCGGATACTTCCATCTGGAGTGGGACTTTCCTGGAGGCTTCATTGGAGGACTTTGCTGGTAGTGAGTGAGGGCCTGAATGACACCACAGGACACTGGGCTGTGGGGCCAGGTGCCTGGAATGGACCATGCAGGTGAGTGAGGGGCCCTGGGAGGAGGGCAGTAGCTGATGACTGGTATCAGTGCATCAGGTACTCTAGGGGCAGAAGATGGTCAAGACCAGGCTACCGACAGTGTTTCCCTGACCAGCAGCCCACCCTATGGATGCCATGCTGACCCTAGGCACCTCAGGGCACACATTCAGCCTTCCACGCTCCAGATACCTGGCACAGGAGGGCACTTATCACATCCTGGGCGTCTGAACATTCAGGGCTATACCCTTCTAAAGAAACAGAGACTGACCTTTGCCCTCTGCTTTGAGCCACGCCGCTATGTCTTCTGTGCAGCCAGAAGAACCAGGCAGAGGCAGGGGCAGCGACACAGGCCTCCCCTTTCTTGCCCAGATACTTTCCCAGGGTAGGGAGGTGAAGTAACAGAACTTCTCCAACTTTCTGATACTCCTGAGCTTAGCCCCAGCTCCCCACAGAACCATGGTCTGGAGCTGGGTGTGGTGACTCACCTCTGTAATTCCAGCATTTGGGTGGCGGGGGCAAGGAGGATTGCTGTTTGAGTCTAGCCTGAGCTATGGTGTGAGACCAGGTCTCAAACAACAAAAGAGTTTGAAACCAAGCCCTGACTTCTTCCCATTGGCTCACTCACACCCCTAATATGGTGCAGGCTGTCCCCAGCATGTCTTTGTTTTCCCTCAAGGCACTTGCCCAACCCTGACGGGTCCTCGTCTGACCATGTGTCATCCACTTTTGCATGGAGCCTCATGGAGGCCCTAGTAATCTGAGGGAGCATGTGACAGGAAGCACGGGAGATGAGGGGGATTAACACATTCATAAAACTGTGAGAAAATACTTAAGGCAAGCTATTTTATCAAGAGGGAGGCTGGCAAGATGGCTTAGTGGGCAAAGGCACTTTCCTCTAAGGCTGACAATCTGAGTTTGACCCCAGGACCCACACAGTGGAAGGAGATAATCGACTCCCATAAATTGTTCTCTGACCTCTGCATGGGTTCATGCATGTGCACACACCTACAATGTAATTAAACCTTAGGTTTACTTTGGCTTATGGCTCTGGAGGCCCCAGGGCTCCCTCCTGGTGGTCAAGTCCAGACGGCATTACATGACAAGAAACAGGAAGCCAGCCTGGAAGCCAGCCGGGCGGTGGTGGCGGTGGTGGGGCACGCCTTTAATCCTAGCACTCGGGAGGTAGAGGCAGGCGGATCTCTGTGAGTTTGAGGCCCACCTGGACTACAGAGTGAGTTCCAGGAAAGGTGCAAAGCTACACAGAGAAACCCTGTCTCGAAAAAACCAAAAGAAAAAAAAAAAAAAAAGGAACAGGAAGCCTATGTGTGTGGGGGGCACTGTTCCTCTCCTAGACCACCTGGATTCAACCACAGGCTCTACCCTAATGGCCTCATCTAAACCTATTTTCAAATAGTTATTTCCACCTTTAACTACCGTAGATGTAAAGTTTCCATCTCAATACCGCACAGCAGGGATTAAATGATAACACATGAAGCTTTAGGGGATGCGCGCGGCCAAGCGCAAGCTATAGACAGCTACTTCTGATAGGGCTGTGCCATTTTGTAAAGCTCCACATTGGTTGAACTCTGACAACTCGGGTGACTGCAGGAATTTGGTTTTTAGAACTTAAGTAACTTGTTTGCCTAGATTCTTCCTGCTTTACTGCCCCCCCCCCCCCAAGAATGGCTGTCCAGGAAACATGCTTATTGATCACCTGACCTTTCTGAACTGACCATTCACTGGTTACCCCTGGCAATGGCCAGCTGCAAGCCTAATTTAACTTAGATCTACCATCCTTCCTCCTTTCTCTAAAATGTGTAAGAAGGGACTGTCACTCTGCCATGTGGCCCTGATCGCTCCTCCTAGTCCCCACTGTGCAGCTGTCTATGGCATTAATAACCCAATAAATTTCTTACCTAAAAAACCCCTCTGGCTCAGTGTCCCCCTTAAGCTAGAATCTCTTTCCTTGGCCTCAGACTGCACACGTGAGACAGACTCCCTGAAGTGCCTAATCACCGAAGTCTGCTTACTGGTTCAGTTCCCCAGGTCTTCCCACACGCACAACACACCCTCCCACACCCACCAACACCACCCTGAGGCAGCACAGACATACTCCAGGCACACACCCACTCACGTGCTCAGACACACCCCCATCAAATCTGTGGGATGCACAGCTGGTCCCAAGAGCCCTGCTTCTGATGCCCAGGCTGCCTCTCGTCGGGAGGCAGCTCCCAGCGAGGCACATGGCTCCACACGGCTGGTCCCAGCAAGTCACATCGGAGTGTCAGAAAGCAGCAGCTGGTGGCACCCAGAAGACCCTTCTACACACTCTAGTCTACGACATCTCTAGCCACTTCTGGAGGGACAATGTCACACCTGACTCTAATTGTCATTACAAACCAGATGCTAATGCTGTTGATGGCCCTCGCCATGGGGAGTCACTTCTTTCTTGCTCTCAGATTTCTGTTTTTTTTTTTTTTTTTTTTTGGTTTTTTGAGACAGGGTTTCTCTGTATAGCTTTGCACCTTTTCCTGGATCTTGCTCTGTAGACCAGGCTGGCCTCGAACTCACAGAGATCTGCCTGCCTCTGCCTCCCGAGTGCTGGGATTAAAGGCGTGCGCCACCACTGCCCGCCTCTGTTTTTTTTTTTTTTTGATAGATAGCTGGGTTAAAACTCTACAGACATAGCTCTCCTAGGAGTTTCCATTAGTTACTTTTCTCAAATCTGTAAGGAAATACCTGTCAAGAGTCAACAGGGGAAACGGGGTTCATTTTGGTTCACAATGTGAGGGCACAGTCCATCATGATGGGAAAGCCTGGAGGCGGGGCACCTCAAAGTCGTGGTGGCCAGAGCCCGAGACAGCTGGCCCCCAACAGCCAGTTGGCAGAAGGAGAGTCACACAGTCAGGTAGCAGAAGGAGATGAATATGGATTCCCAGCTTGCTTTTATCCTTTTTATTCAGTCTGTAGCTCCAGCCCACGGGATGGTACCACCAACAACCGGGTAGTGGATGTCTTGCCTTAGTTAAACCTCATTAGAAACTCCTCATATAAACACTCAGAGAGGTGCATCTTAAGAGATCATAGGGGGCTGGAGAGATGGCTCAGAGGTTAAGAGCACTGGCTGTTCTACCAGAGGTCCTGAGTTCAATTCCCAGCAACAACATGGTGGCTCACAACCATCTGTAATGAGATCTGGTGCCCTCTTCTGGCAGGTAGGCAGAATACTGTATACATAATAAATAAATCTTAAAAAAAAAGAAGAGAGGCCGGGCGGTGGTGGCGCACGCCTTTAATCCCAGCACTCGGGAGGCAGAGCCAGGCGGATCTCTGTGAGTTCGAGGCCAGCCTGGGCTACCAAGTGAGTTCCAGGACAGGCACAAAGCTACACAGAGAAACCCTGTCTCGAAAAACCAAAAAAAAAAAAAAAAAAAAAGAAGAGATTATAGATGAGATCAAGCTGAAAATTTAAATTCAGCACCATAGAGGAACTTCTTATACACACAGATTAATGGCTTCATCAAATTCTTTTGAGACAGGGTTTCTCTATGTGACAACTCTGGCTGTTCTGGAACTTGCTTTGTAGCCCAGGCTGGCCCAGACTCACAGAGATCCACCTGCCTCTGCCTCCTGAGTGCTGGGACTAGAGGCGTGCACCTCTAAGGCGCCAGCTGCTCCATCACATTTCTAACTGGGCCTGCACTGTATGGAAGTTAGTGTCTATAAAGGTTTCCGGATCACTACGTTTCCTCTTCATTGTTAATTCCTGCCCCTCGGGGCGTGGACTCTTGGTTGACAGTCTCTGTACTGACTGACTCTCACTTCTGACTCCCCGTATCTGCTCTTGAGACTCTGAAGGGATTTACATTTTGGTTATTCATTCTCAACTACAGAATTTCTTTTGGTCTCTGCTCATGACTGGTATTTGTTTAATACTTTTGTCTTAAAAAAAAATTTGTTTGTAGGAGTATGGGTGAATGCTGGCAGGTATGTCTGTGCACCATGTACGTGCCTGGTGCCTGCCAAGGCCTAAAGAAGACATTGGATCCCCTGGAACTGGAGTTAACAGATAGTTGTGAGCTTTCATGCGGGTGCTGGGAATTGATCCTGGATCCTCTGGAAGAACAGCCAGTACTTTTGACCACAGAGCCATCTCTCCAGCCCCAATCTTTGACTTTTTGAAGACTTTTTTTTTTTTTTTTTAAAGCATTTTGAACAGATTCAGTGAGCTGATCTAAAGTCTTTGCCCAGTGACATCAACATCAGGGACAGTTTACCCTCACTGCTTATTTCCCTACATATGGACTATCCGTCCTGGCTCTTTTTTTTGGCCTGCCTCATGATTTTAAAACTGGACATTTCAAGCACTACCGTGTGGCTACTCTGGAGACATGATTGCTCCTTGGCTTTTTGTTTCTGTGACAAATGCCAAGAGGAAAACCTAAAAAGATTGATTTTGGCGCCCGGTTTGTCTCACTCCATGTCAACCTGCTCCACTGCT